CTCAGATGTGAACTCTGGTCTCRTAGTGCACTGCCTTATAATCTTTTGTAACATAGAAAATGACAGAGTGTCACGACACAGAGGAATTAGGAATTTCCTCATACCAAATCCAGAGGCATTGCTGTGCTGAGAAAAGCATTCTCCTGATCCCGGCTGAAACACTCGGGCTGTACATCTCCTGGCTGAAAAGGCAATGCCATGGCCACCTTTACCCTGAGSAAGTAAAAACGATACTGCTTAACAATGGGGAAAGCTTTGGGGAACTGTCAGAATCAGGGCTGAACCTGTCACCTGCATTGGGATCCCCTTGRTCTTGCCTGGGATCTCTCAAGTAACAGTTCTCATGGGAAATGCCATTTTTCTCTCTATAGTCAGKAGATGCACTCTGGTGACCAACAGATTTATGCATGAACTAGGGTTTTTTATGCATGTACTTTATCCCTTGGAGCTAACTGCAGTGAACACTGGGAATTTAAAGTTGATGATGACACATATATTAGACAAGGATAGTAAATTCAAAGGCATACCTCTCCAACACTTGCTGATTTTATTAAGATACCAAGATGCCATYAACTTACTACTGAAAAGGTTTAGAAGCCAGTTATTTCCGGATAAGTTGCTTTAGCAGTCCCAATGTGTTTTAGCATTTGATGGGATACTGTGGTGATGCTGGTAAGAACTAGGATACACAAGGCAGGGTGTGCCTTACAAAGAGAGGCTAATTGAAGAAGTTGATTATGTAAGCTCCAAAATAAAGAGATATTGCATTTATGCATATGTACAGGTCTTCTACAGACCAGAAGAGAGATTTTGTACTATGAAAGGAAAATAGACCAAGTAATCCTGCATGTATGAGGTGCTGTCAGTGTTTGTCCAGGACATTTAGTACTTCTTGGAGAGTTTCTGAAATATTTTCTGAGTTCACATTTACACTGAGTTTGAGTAAAGTTAACATACATGTAACAGCAAATATCTATACGCCCCGTTTTTCATGGGTAGGAGTATGGAGACCTTTTAAAAGTGATACAATATTCCTACCTGACAGAAACACTTCTTTTTCTGCTGATTTTACCTTATGGTCCAAATTTTCTCAAGCCATTTAACTKTTTTTGTCCTAGTGCCTTCATGGTTTAGTGGTAGACTGAGAAGTGTTATATTAATAGTTGGTTTCAAGGTCTTAGAGGTCTTTTCCAATCTAAAAGATTCCATTAGTCTATATTTGAATTACAGATTAAAATGTTTACATATATGTTTCTTTTTATGACATATATATTTATCTTGTTCAAATAAAGAACATATGGGTCACCAGCATCAACCGTGTGGATCAGGCAGTTTCACAGCCATTGCCATATTAAAGCCTGACTCTTGTAAGTGATTTTAGGCATGTTGTCATGGGGACTTTTGTAATCTCTTGTTTCTTGACTTGGACTTGAACATTTTTGCTTTTATTCAGATATTTCTAAGCAGTAATAATTTTAATGCCTGAAGCATCRCACCAATGCACATTAGCTGCATTTTCCTGTATCCCTGAGTGGAACATGGCTGTTGCTAGTAAAAGCACTAATCAGGAAKAAACCAGAAGGGCTTTCAGTGAAGTTCCCTTTCTCCTATGTTCAGAAAGGTGGTCTGAAAAATCTGAGAGGAAGATGTGCTGCAGCACATGGTACCAAGAAGCTCATGGTATAGGGACAAGACAAAGATGAGTCTGTGGGCTGCAGAGAAGCTGTAAARGATGGGAAAGAGGCTGAAGAGAGCAGTCACGAAGAGTGAGAAAAGTGCAAAGAAAACACAAAATTTGTCTGATCTTTTATTTGTCTTTAGCAGTCCCTTTAATAAATCTTTGAATAATTAAATCTGATCCAACCTATGTCTTTGAGCATTAATGTTAAATTCCTAACTCGGTTGTAGTTGTAGTTCTAGAATKCATTTATTGTAGTGCTATCATCAGTCTAGTCAGAGGGGAAAAAAATTATTGCAGAAAAGTCTTAAATGATAATCAGTTCAAGGCAGAGCAACTCTGGGTGAACTGCATCTCACCACTAGCTCATCTGGCAGACAGACCCCAAAATAGCTGTGTGGATATCTAGTTTCTCTGCTTCTTGAGCTGCACCAAATGTGTCATTTGACCACTGGGGATCAGCCCCAAAAGTCAGGAGTGCATTTCCTACAGAGAGTTGTTGCAATCCTCTCYTGTCAATATCTCCCTCTGACATTTCCCATTTGTCCCAAACTTGTCTCAGAGGTTTATAAAGCTGCTGCTTGCCTCCCAGATTGCAGCCTGGGGTTTCACAGAAAACCCAGCTTAATATTACTCCCTTAATCCCTGGACTTGAGCTACCACTGCTCAGCCTGTGTTTTATGGACAGCAGTCCCAAGTCAGGCTGTCCACTACAGCACCACAGGGGCCTTTGGTGATCCCAAACCAGAATCTGGCTGGAAGTTTGTACTTGTAGTGGTACTTGCTGCATAGAATTTTGTCTTCTCTGCCACCCTGGTAATCACAAAACCTCTTCTTTGTTATTTGGATAAACACCAGAGAGGACTTTTCATTTATATGGTAATAGAGCTTTTGCAGCTTTGCATTGCACCAGGGTGAATCAGATGCCAGCAACAAAACCAAGAGTATCAGACTCTCTCAGCATCAGTGACTTCKGGAACAAGTGGCTAAAGAGAACACACTGATCACTCAGGGCAGGATTCACCTCTGCTTCAAGTATTCAGAAGTTAGGAGTCAAGCGTGGTCTGGACGATTAGGCTTCTCCAGAAAAATCCAACACAGGCGTGTTTAGTCACTACTTGCAGTTGCCACAGTTTCTTCTTCCACTCAAGACAGAGAAAAGACAAGYAGTTTCTACTACAAGTCTAACTTTTAATGGTCAAGTGTATTCTAAGTGCACACCTCATGAAAAGGATGTGTTTGCCTCAAAAGGAATAGTGCTTCTTACCAAAAAGCGATTTCAAACTTTGAACTAATTTAGGAAATTCGATTCCAGTGTCAGCTTTGAGTCAGATGTACCTTTGGCTATCTCTGGCTTGAGCTTAAAGAACAGRTATTTCATACAGGGAAGGCTTGAGTCAGGAAAAAGAGTTYGTTGTTAGGCAACAAGCAATTCTTAGTCAGCGTCCTAAGAGATGCTGAAGGCTTCTTCCCCCACCTCATTTCCTTTTGTCTAAAMCCAAAGGTGTGATATGACAATGCAGATGAAAACAGGTTCTCATGCAGAAACCTCACACCCATTAGCTTCCATACAYTGCAGAAACAAGACCTGGATCTGACAATCTTTGTGTAGCACAATTACAAAGAAATTGTAACAAATTTCTCATTCCTCAGTTGTGGTGCTGAAACTCCTCTAGGTGTGTCAACCAAGGATACAGGCAGGTCTCAGCAGAAGAAATAGAAAATATGTGTGCTTTCTTATATAGACTTTTGTTTAAAATGCTTCTGGTCACAATTCTCACCAAAAAAAAAGATTCTGAAACTTTTTTACAGAAATGCAAGTGCTTATATTAAGCAAAACATCAGCCAAAGTGTGGAGAGGCTTGTGACAGTCCTTATATCTATTGTTTTAGATTATCTAATTCTGGCTTGAATTAAGCAGTTCCARGAAGTTTCAATACAATGAAGGTGAGAAAGAAGTTCAAAGCAAATTATCACTTTGCACTTCATGATAAAATTGATGTGCTTATTTTATAAAGCAATAACAGCAACAAGAAGAAGAAGATAATGTAGATATGAAATTAAACCTAAGGAATCAAACTTTTGGAAGGATAGAATACTGCATGAAAGATGATCAGATTTTCTTAACTTGTTCTTCTTKTTAGAACAACTTTTCATATTGATTCACATAAGAAAAGCATGTAATGAGACTTCTAGAAGTCACTGGGTTTGTGTCTGGTTTCTGTCAGTCAAGGCCCTYGTACAAAACTCACGGTCAGAGTGGCTGTGATTTCACACGTATGCCCATGTCTAAGAGGAAGCAGGATGCTTTGTCATCCTATTAATCTCAAGTTCTTTCACAAGGATTGCTTTTAATCATTTGGGAGGACTTTCAATACAAACGTGTTTGTGCCTAATAATGCTTGCATAATGTCTCAAAAAATTTAATCACTGAGCTTCCTAGAGGTGTGCTAAACACATGCAGATCCCCATTAGATTAAAAAAAAACCTAACAACAATACATACAAAATCAGTCCATTAAATTCCAATAATCTGCAAATAGTGTCCAGCCAGATGATGATTTGAACACAGCTGGTCTGGACCCTTTTTGCATCAGAAAATGATATTGCTGTTTGTGGAAACATTTTGTGATTTTCCAAGGTGAAGTGTTTGAATCTCATTTTAATTTGTTAAGCTGCATACTGTATTAAATGCAAAGTCCAGAAATAAGTAAGACATTTCAAATGGAAAAGTGATACACTGTGGTTTAGGGAGCAGAAAATTGTTGCTTATGATACCTTCTTTAATTTCTTTTGAAATAGAACGCTACAAGAAAAACAAGTATGTAYACAGAAATCATGATGCAACAGCACTTTTCAGGGAAAAATGTTCTTTCAGAAGAATTCTTACTATCTTCATATGTAAAAGTTTTCATTGTAATTATCACYTCCATAGCTGTTTTTTAAATTTATTTTTTATTATGGATGCAATTGTGTGTGGGACTCACGTGTTTGCATGGAGAAAATAGGTTGGTGTGTTTATTAGGCTGTTGTTGTCCTTTGCTTTTAGAATATCACTGTAAGGTTATCTCTCATGTATGATCTCTSTCATACCATTAATCAGGTTACAGCTGCTACTGCATTTCCTCGAGCCCCCAGGAGGGAGCAATTCCGTCCCTCAGGACGCTCTGCTCAGTCACAAGACCTGCAGATGTGAACTGTCACACCTTACAGCAGCTGCTCTGTGGACAAATAATGTGGGTGGGAAATTTCCCTGTTTCAGAAATCATGGAGGGGTGGAGCTCTGACTCAGTGTAATAAAGCACCTGTTCAGCAACTTCTGACACTTCTTYAAGATTGTAAATTTGTTTCAGGAGGCACTGGCACCTGTGGAGCCKGGAACTGAGGTGCCATTCACAGCAGCTGCTTTTAATGTAGCCGCGATCTCCATGGCATCAACCTCTGCCTTACCTCAGGTAAGTGGAAAACAGAACAACCCTGGCAGAAATTTCTGAGTTTTTGATTCATGTTTGCCCCTGAACTACAATAGGTCAAGTCCACTGTTGTCTATAGGACATAAATTTCCAGGAAAACAAAGTTGTCCTTTCTTGGATATCTGCAGTTTCCAGGACCTGCAGTCAGAATCTTTCAGTATGGCACAGAACCTGCTGCCACATTCCTGGCACATTCAATTTATTCACCACAATGAGGAGGTGCAGATTGCCCATTCTGTACTGGAATTCTACACAGAGTAATTGAAATAAGTTAAAAAACCTTCTTCATCCCCTGTTCTTCTTCCCTCAGCAGCATTCAAGCAGAAAATCAAACYACTTGGAAAATGAAGAAAGAAAACGGATGATGCACTATGCAGCTACGACTGATGATGCTAAGGTACCAATTTCAACAAACCAAATGTATGGGGGACTTAACCAATACCTTTTTGAGAAGGGTAGGATATTTTCTTCCCCAGATTTAGTTTTTAAGGATTCACATGTTTATGTTGAAATAGAAATAGTTAATGTAAGAAAATTTTATTTAGGTGCAACATCTGTGTACTATTAATTTTTTATTCCTTTATCTATTTACACAGAACATGTTATTTTCATGGTTTTATTCCTTAGAGAAATCCCTTAATGGCAATGTTCTCATTTTACTGTTAAAATGGGACTGGCTTTGGTCTTTTTCTCATGCTATCTATCTCTATTGATTTAATGGAGATTTAGCTCAGAATGAATAGAGAGTGTTGGCAGAGTTGGAAGGTCAGACCATGGTTGTTGGTGAAGCTCTGGGGTTTGGTCATTGATGCCAGTTTACAGAACAAATGCCCACTTTGATCACTGTGCACTTCTTCACAATGACAGAACAACTCCAGCAGCCTTTGCAGGGCCTCTGGCAGAAATGTGGTTACATCAAACACGCAGCAGCTCTGTGATGATTTGCAGCTGGCATTGTGTCAAGCTGCCTCATGGTAAAACCTGGGGGCTCCAAACAAAAAAAAGAAAACTTACTTTTTGATGAAATTTTAAATGATGCGTGATTCAAAATSTATAGCTTGTAGGAGACCCCTTTGATTTGTTTTTTCTTTTCTGTAACCAGACTACTAAATTAATWGAAAACATTGTTTTGCCTCTGTATGTCACAATCTTATCAAACTGATTGATCAAACTGATCTCTTGTTAACGGCAGTCTAGCAGATCCTACAGATGGAAATTAGTGTACCAAAGCTGCCAGCGGGGGGTAAAACTGCTGTAAACAGCAAAGTAGCATAACCAAAACTGACATGGCATTTAGGTGTTCCTAATTTGCTCTGTGTGTGTGTGTATGCTAAAGCTCAGCAAGAGAATGTGCTAAAGAAGGAAAAGCAGCTATTGGGGACAACAATGGCCCATTCTCTTTACCAGTTTTGTAATGATTTAATACATTCATAGTGAAGTTGTGTTTTAGTTTAGAATATCCATGGCTAAAAGCAACCAATCCTTATTCACCATGAACACAGCTACATTTACATAAAGGTTTTTAGAATTCTGCGTATGTTTTTGAACATACATGAAGTAATATTAAAAAAAAAAAAATCCTGTGGCCATAAGCTCCTGCATGTAGGGGGCTATGGGGCCCTTTCCACATCTTTGATTCATTGTTCGTGTTTAACAACAAAGACATTCTCAGACACTCTTTATTTGCCTCCTGGCTTTGAATATGTCTTCTCTGCAATAAATCTTGGCAGAAAACTGGCATTAAAGGTACACACTGGTTTAAACTGGCCAATTTCTGCCTCTTAACTGGCATTAGGATTCCTGGGTAGCTTTTGGTAATTGTCTCAATTTTTGCAAGTCATGGCTTGCTACCTTCCACAGGCGGATAATAATTAGTAGAGAGCTATTAGAAAGGATAACATGCTTGTAGCAGACCTTGAGCTCCAGAAGAAGAAAACAGACATAAAGCTTTCCTTAATGCAAATGCTCAAACATTTGCCTAAGTACTTGTTTCAATTTGAGAGGATTTTGCATAACTGTGTGATAAACTGAATAATTACTGGATTTGATTTAGGAAAACATGCCTRGGCCTGTGCATGGAATTTAGCTGTTGCCTACCTATAGTGCAAAGCCAAATATKCCCCACTGCTAATTTTTCAGGAAAACGTAACAAAAATTCACCATTGTGTGGAGCTGGCTCAGCCTGTGTTCTGGTAAAGCTGAGATCTTACCTATCCTGTTTAAAACACAGCTTTATTGTGTTTAAATATCCTAAAATATCCTGTGCCTTGCATGTTACTTTGAGCAACAGTGATTAATTTCTTTTTTAGTTTTGGAATACAGCCACCCAGAAACCAARATATTCTATTCCTGATAAAGAGAATGCATTTGTTCATTACTACTTGTTTTGGATGGGCTGCTTCCATACCTCACAGCAGAAAATGTTAGCATTTTAGCCAGTCAGCTCACTGAAAATATTCTGATGTTACCATTCCTAGTTACAAGCTCATGGGCAAAGCCTTATAGTTATTTTAGGCACTGGCTAACTTCTATTTAACATACCTTTCAATTACCCAGCATTTTATAAAAAAAAAAAAAAATCAGTCTTGCCATTTTATTAGACAACTTCATAGTCTGAAAATTACTGTTTTGTTTGTTTTTTTTTTAATTCCTTTTATGACCTTCATGTCTTTCATTCTTATAGAGATGGAAATTATTTGGGAGGTTAAGCTAAATTTTGTCATGATGGATTCCCCGCGGTCCAATGCTCTACACACTTCAGCTGATGTACTGTCTTGTCTCACTGATTTCCCATCCTTTGACCTTTTCACCAGACTTTGACTTTTGTCACAGTAACAGCACCTCTTTATGGCTTTTCCTTGTTTCATTTGAGAGTTTGTCCCTGTCATATGAATTGGAATTTCTCCGAAAATAGATAATATCTTCTAATTATTTAATTATCTTCTACCAGTACTCGTCTATTTCACTCCAGATTATCTTTTCAAGGTTTTGGTCATTAGCTTTCACAACAGCATCTTTCTTTGGCCACCCCTTTTTGTTGATGATATTTTATGTYGTGACTAAGAATTACTGAGCTATTTGTCTTCTGCCAGTATCTCAACTTCTCCTTGGTGTTTTTCTGAATATCAGGGACTACCATCCGCCTCCAATGAAGTGACCACCTACCTGTTGGTCACTAAAGTGACCACCTATTTCTTGACCCAGTATGTACTGTGCCTTCAGTATTATTTGTCTCGATGTCTTTTTGCAAATCCACAAGTGGCATCATAGTAAGTTTGGTCATTTTATAATCTCCCCAGACCCTTGCTACTAGAATTGCAAACTAACACTTCCCTGTTCCTAAATCTGTCTCGTTTTAATGCCATAAAAATTAGTTTGCATTAGTGCTTTGYTCAGAAGTCCTTAAAAAAGTCCTGATTATTTCATAGCCTGACTAACTCAAGGTGACCTTTTTACATATGTGTTATTTATAGATACACTATTTATACCTTCCCTTTTATTGAAGCCACCCAATTCAGAACCTGCTGATAACGTATTTGTATGCAGATTAAAGCTCTTCACGTAGCCGTCAGAACTCAGGATTAGACAGAGTTTGCATTTYCTTTCCTGTGCAGAGCCTCATCCTCAGACATTCACTGCAGTCATTTTATRTTACTCCTTCTGTCTAACAAGACCTAAAAAGATGTAATCATACATCAACTTCAGAACTTATTACTCAATACAATCTAAAATTCCAGAAATTCCTCCTTTTCTTCTGTTTCTGTTCCTAAATAGTGATAGAGGGAGCCATCCCYAGTGCTGATTTACCTTTTTCATTCAGTCTCTTTAGTACAACCATGATGCAACTTTCTTTCCTTTCTGTAAAATTCAGCTGTATTGATAAATTTTCCACAACTGTTCCCACAGTCAGGGAATCAATATAATCATCTCTGCTGCAGCCACAGGAAGCTTTGTCTATTTTCTGCTTCTTTTTGCTGATATCCATCTTGCTTTAGCTGCTGCTAGTGGATGTGATGAGCATGTTCTCAGAAGATGTAGAATCCATCAAGCAGATGTGATTGTCACAGGTTTTACAGACCCTGCTGGTCAGGCCTGGCACCTTCAGCAAGGAATTGGAGACAGCCTTCTTTGAAATTRAGGACTGTAGTCAGAACCTTTCCATGTCTATCAATCAGATAATCACCCTTAGTCAGGAAAACCTGTGCTGCCACAAAGCAAGCAAGGAGTGTTTGTCYAAAGCTGTGTATTGTGTAGTCCTGAGACATTCCCTAAGGCACTAACACTCATCCTTAGTCATCTCACTCTCATGAAAATGATTCTTTTAAAAACAAGCAAAAAGCCATAAAAAGGCCCATCTCCCCCACCCCTCCAATTATCCAAGCATTGCGTTAAAAGCAGAATCTTTTATACAGGCCTTGATTCTGCCTACAGAACAACACAGGCTTGGTCAACAGCCAACCAAATTTGAAGAATCTCTAATTTCTGGATTCATTGGATTTTGTTTTCATGTTGGCTGCTGATGGTCATGTGTACAGTTTAATTTTACTGGCTGAATGAACTTTTTCAGCTTATTTACTCCATCTAAACTTTCCTGCTCATCCTCTCTTTACACATGTTCTGTTTGTATGCTTGGATAAGCACTGGGTTTAGGGGTCAATGAAGTTTGTGGAGAATGTACATTTTGCTGCCTGTTGTATTTTTGCTGTGATGCCAACTGGAGGAGACAACTCCAGCAGAACCTTGGTGCTTTTCAGTGTTTGGTTACATTACAGTCAATACCCAACATTCAAAACTTTAAAGTACATCTCCTTTGTTATTTTTTCAGCAAGAAGAAATGACACCTTACTCCTTGCTTACTGTAAGAATCATAAAGTTGAAAAACGCTCATCAGGCAGATTTTTGTAAGTAYCAGATTTTCTTATTGATGTTACAGCATACTGTATCAGCCCCTGCTTGTATTAGACAGTGCACAAATGCAAAACACTAATATAATACAGCTTTAAAATCAAAGGTGAAGGCAATTTATGCCAGAGAATATCTGTTTGCAATTTCAGAGGTTTGTTGGTGTTTCTTTCATATTATTTTTCTGCTAAGTTGGCTCTTTCAGGGGTTTGAAAATATCCTAGTGCCAGTTTTAACATGCAGATATTTATGAAACGTGTCCATAACCGATGCAAAGAATATAGAGCTGAAATACTTACACACCAGTTCCTCTTAATTCATTGCTTGTCMTGATCATCCTGACATCAGCCACATTGTTATGGATGTTTCTGACTCCTCCCCCACTGTGAAAGATTTCTAACAGAAATCTTTTGGGGACTGGGGTACATGGTATATTAGAGTTTACATGCAACATGTTCAGAAAATGTGTGATATTTGGCCAGGCCCTGCCCGGTGGGTCACATTCACAGAYGTTTTTCTCTGGAGAATTTTCTCCTGCCGTTCCTACGTTTGTCTCATGAACTTGGCACATCACATATCCTTTTATCATATTGTTCTTCCCTCTCCTGTTTTGCATTTTCTTCTTGGGAGATCATGATGAAGTTCATTGAGGCCATATCCTACAGATAAAATTTCCCACCATCTCTTTCTGTGTTTCACTCACTTTGCTGTTTCAAAAGCATGGACGTCATCCTTTCCAATTTTTCACTCAAATGGAGAATCCAGTTAACATCATCTGTGATACTGGGTTGCAAAGAATAGAAAAAATAATATAGTATAACAAAGCCAAATTAATTTCTATTCCTTTTGAGAGGCGTGAAGCACTGCATTAATGTGCGAGACCTCACCTTCTTTCCTTTGAATTGTTGATTTAATGTCTCTTTGATCTGAAATGAAAATTGAACAAGATAAGAACCATGATTCAGCTGCTTGTGCAAGGRGATTGCACAGAGTAAAATGCAGCTGCATTCTCAGAAGCACACAGAAAAACTGTGTTACACTTGTGACCTTGTCCTCYATCCTGAGCACAGCGAGATTTCTCAGATGTCTCACTTAGTGAGATATAGAGGTTTTGAAAATTCCCATTATCACCAAAATCTACTCCCCTGGAGTAGAGCTCAATATATGTGGGCTCAGTTTTAAGCTCTGTTCATGGACTTGTTGCATAAGTTTAGGTAGATTTATATATCCATACACTCTGTGCCTCTGCTGCCCTGTCTATGAAACTTAGAATTTCTTTTCCAACCCATTTTGTCTCTCTTTGTAGATGATTTGTTCCTTTTGAATTTCCTACYGTTGTTGAGGGATTTTAATTTAAGATGTGAGGTAATGCCTAGAAAAGATGAGAAGTGTTTTCAGATTATTTTGTTAATTACCAGTAAATAAGATTTAGAAACTGCAGGTGAAGAAAAAAGTGTCTTTTCTTTCTGTCAGTAATTCCTCAGCTACTCTGAGAGCCTGTTTGAGCCTGCTTCTTAAGGATGTCTTATCATAATGAAGAACTGTGGACCAAGATGCTGTTGAACACAGAAGACAAATGAATATTAGATAGCTTTTTGTTGACTGAGCAGCAACTTACTTCTGCTTTCAAAGAAGTTGGATTCTCACAGGAAAAATAGTGTKATACCATGGGATTTAGAAACTTCAGTACAACTCAAAAAATATACATTGTAYCTTTCAAGTGCTTGATTTTGCACTGCTATTGATATTCTTTTAGTTTAGTCTTTTGGTTTGAACATTTGAACACATTTGTAGTATCAAAAAACGAAAATAACTACACGTGCTAGCGTGTGATAATGAGAATAAGAAAATKATGATTACCTAGACTCTTCTCAGCAATAGCTCTTTCCCCCGGAAAGCTGATCATAAGCAGCTGATACAGATGCTATCTGACTATGAGATATCTGTAGAGGACTGACAATTTTTGCAAAAACATATTTCAGACTCCCCTGGATTTTCATCTTCCCTGYGTCAAATCCAGGAACAATCCACCTTTTCAGCCAAGTGCAGCATCTTTTATGACTCKCTTTTTCTTCCTGCTTGCTGTCTTGCCATCTTTCTCAGCATGTGYAGTGCTCCATTCCGTGATTTTCTCTCTGTTTGTTGCAAGTGCAGGTAGCACCAGGTTCCATTTTCCTTGACTTACGTGCCAAATCCTGGCTTCAGGAACATCACTTCTGTATATTTTCACTGACATTCCTCATTGTCACAGGCACCCAAGTTAATCCTGGCAGTTTTTTAAACACACGCCTCGGGATCCACGGGATGTGTGTTTCACAAGCCTGGAATGAAATCCAAGCTTATTCTGAAATCCAGTGTTACACCTTTGCCTGTAGACAACATGTGCTGGCGGAGCTTGGCACACAAAGAAAAAAATTAAACTGAAAAGAAAACAGTCCACTCATCCCCCATGGATCAATTGGCCTTTTCCCTGTCCCTGCTGCGCCCCACCCCTTTTGTGGTCTCCTCTATACTGAGTGAGTTCCTCTCCAACATCTGCTCCATTCTGCACATGGYTGGTTTCTGTCTTGTCTTCTCTTACCACGCAAATGCTCTTGACAGACCTGGGCTAATTATTTTCCACTCTACTCTTTGCTAACCTTTATGCCAATTAGTAATCGTGGGTCAGACTCAAACATTTCGGGCACTCCCTGATTTCACTGTGGGCAAAGACAGGAGGGAGCCCAGATAACATCTCTTACACTCATCCTGCTGCCCTGCAGGCACTGAGTGTCACCACCAGGCTCCAGTGCTCTATGCAGTTTGGCTGTGAAGGTAGAGGGGGTACTAGAAAGGAAGAAATTCCATTGAAGTTTGAGTCTTTTACACTCTGGCACGTGTTTTGCAGTGGCAWTCCCCTCCTCAGTCCGAGACTGCAYACAGTCTTGGGTAAAAGGATAACTTTCGAGTCATTGCTGTGTGCATTTGCTCCTTCTCAGCTGGAGGTCAGTGCTAAAGCTTTCACACAAGCTCATGTTTCCTAACTCTGTTAATGGCGCCACTTCTTCTGTAGAAGTCCCCATGTGTGGGAGGAATATCTGGTCAGGATGAGATGGCAGGGAAAATGATATATTAGCATCTTTTCTTGCTGCTGGCACCTCTTCCAGTGTCTGCCAAAAGAATGGAAAAGGAGCTTAGTGATGGGAAGGGAGGACCGTGGTGGCACAGGCTCTCCAACACCTCCCAGCTGCTCTCCTTCAGTGCATTTTTGGGTTGCCACAGAGTTGCACCAAGCCACCAGCCTGGCCCACAGTGGAAGCTGACACCCTTACCCTGCTCCATGGACAAATGAAGGAACAGTGAAGGGATCTGCCTTGTCTGGCATGCCTGAAGCCCGGGCACCAAGAAGGGGGATTTGCCCTGAGGAGTCACAAGTGGAAGCAAACCCCTCCGATCCTTAGACAGCACAGGTGACAGATTTGCAGTGAGGCCCTTCTCCACCACTCCTTAGTGCCATGTGRCAGAGCAAAACTCTGCTGGGCTCCACTGGATCTCACATAACCCAAAAGAATGGACTAAAGGGGTCTGTGACAGTGCTGCTCTCTGAAACTGTGGCAGCCTGCGTGGGCACCACGTTCCTGAACTGACCTTTGCTGCTGAGAGCTGCTCAGGCTCATGGACACAGACCAGCTCAAGAGTGGTGCTGCCAGCTCTGGCTTGATGTATTTGGCCCCACTGGTGTTGAATGTTTGCCATGCTCTTCCCGGACTTCAAATTCAGAGCTGAATTTGAGCTGTGTCCCAGTCAGAAATTACTTGGAGTGAGCTTCAGGCTCACTGGTGCTTTTTTTTCTGGGAGACAGTAACTTCTCTGAGAGGATTTGTCTTGCCAGATCAAAAGGCTGTCAGAGCTGAGGTAGGAAAGTTAAAGCCTTTGGGTGAAATGTGACTGCACTTAGCAGGTATATCTTCTACTGTAGAAAGCAGGCCCTTGTGGAAACTTCTCAGCTGTAGAAAGAAACCTGTTGGTCTTAGCTGGGAGGTCAGAACAGTCACTCTTCTCCCTCAACTCTTCCTTTTGTTTTCAGATCTTCCTTTAGTTTTTCACCTTTGGAAGAAGATAGACCTTGCATGTTTATAAAAGAGGTCCTTTTGACTTTATGAAAAGTACATAAAGTCTACACTTGGATTTGCAAATCAGAGTCATTCTCCAGACACATTAGGGGTTATTTTTGCAACAGAAAATAAGTGCCAGCAGATTAGGGAGAGCACAACCAGTGCAGGTGGTAGGAATGGCCCTGTCCCAAGAAAGCAAGTGATGCTGGTGGGAGCACAGTGGGGCAGGACAGAGAGGGGACCCAGGGTGTGAAAGCTTTGGGACTGCAGCAGGTACTGCAGCCACTGAATCTGCTCCTGGGAGAAAACCCTGCTTTGCCACTTSATTCAAATGGCTCGACTGGCTGGTCCTCATTCACAGGGGGACTCTGCTCATCCCCTGTCAAGGACATCTCTGATTAAGCATGGTAGATTTATGAGCTTTTTTATTTCCACAAGCAAGCTACAGAGAGTAATGTCATGCTACAGATGGGTGTTGGCCCTGGGTGCTGGTGGAGAGCTGAGCTGAGTTCAAACCATCTCTCAGACAGCAGTAGGAGGAACCTTCTTAGCACTGYTTGAGTCGTACTAAGCTGGTGAGGGAAAATGTTCCCAAAGATGATGTCCAACAATTGAGAAATGGGAGCGGTTCTCCTCCTCCTTTTAGGTGAGCTGCAGTAAATTAGGATTCAAGGAGAACCTGTCTGTGCAGGTGGAGAATATTTCACTAGGGGAAAGAGATTTCTTCGTTTTGGTGTTAYGAAATGCAGTAACAGGACAGATGGGATTTTGTAGTTTACATTCATTGTTCTTATGAGACTAGTTTTTCTAATATGCTTTGCTTTTCAGTTCTGTAAATTCTTCTTTACCTGTGATGAGTGATTTTAGCAGGTGATGGTTCATTTCAGGTGCATCTCACAGGACTGTACTGTCAGAGTAGCACACATGGCTGCAGTTCTGARCTGCTTCTGTTGGTCTTTCATTTTTCACCCATCTTTAGCTTGAAGACAGAGTTGAGAAGCAGCCTCACCATCATACAAATTAAATCAGAAGTTAAAAATTGGAAGTCACAAGGTCATTAATTGCTGACTTTTAAAGAGGCTGTGATCTCAGATGTCTCAGCATTCACGAGGTGACACTATGTCATCAGGAAAGTTGCAATASGTGCACTGCAGTAAGGGCTGGCACGGCATGAAAATGCTAAGGAAGCCCAGCAACTGCATTACAACAAGAGCATGAAGAAAATGCAAATAGATTTTTTTGTATTAGCTCTCAGCAATGAATAAACTGTAACATTTTCAGTGGCTCTCTTCACTTTTTTCAGGGACCAGAGGGAGCAATGAAAGCTGATTAGCCATTTCGAGGGCTCCCATATAATAGKGGTTTTATAGTCATCATAGTATTTATTCAGCAGAGATCCAACTGTCGTGTTATTTTTTATTTATCTCAGTGATGGCCTCACAGGTTAGCCTGGGTTCAAGTGAACTGCCACTACAGAAATAGATAAGCTCAGTTAAAGTCGCAGCATGGGGATGCTGTTTGTACAATTAAAGGAAAACCTAGAAAATCACAGGAATCCTATGGAAAACAGACTCTCCACACTGGTAGGGACTGTAGGTGAATTGTGGCAAAAACACATGTGGCACAGTCCCCTTTCTACACAGGAAGAGAATGTGCCTTGTCCCCCTGGTACCACCTCACCCATCTTCAAGGTCCAATTTGCACACAGTGGCCACTAACCATACTGTGGCRTTAGTCTGTGACAAGCTAGCCTTGTTACAGCAGAATCACAGCATGGCTGAGGGGTGAGGGAATTCKGGAGATTGTGCAGTCTGGACCCCTGTCCTAAACAGAATCAGCTACAGCAGTCTGCTCAGAGCCATATCCACTCAGGTTTTGAACATCTCCAAGGGTGGAGACTTCACAGCCTTTCTGGACAATCTGTGTCAGTGTTTGACAGAGCCACTTCATGAGGCTCATGTTGGCCCTGCTCTCCCAGCAGTCCAGGTCCTCTCGAGCAGTAGCACAGCGTTCTGGTGTGTCAGCCACTCACAAAGTTCAGTTCAGCTGCCAGCTTGCTGCAGCCGAGCTCTGCCCCCTCTCTCATGCTGTTAATGCAGATTAAACAGCGCTGGCCCCAGAATCAGCCCTGGGGTGGCCAGAAGTGGTGTCCTCCAGCTGTACTTTGTGCTGCTGATCACAATCTCTTGATCCTGGCAGTTGAACCAGTTCTTAATCCACCTCACTTTCCATTTCTCTATCCTGTACTTCATCAGTTTGACRAAGAATTGTCAGTAGCTGGTTTTACATAAATATTTATGAAATCAACACGCATACTGAAAAGTAGTTTTAGAAAGTAGCCTCATGAAGATATTGTGTCCAAGAAAACATTCCAGAAAATCAGTAAATTCCAGATAAAACAGTAACAAAAGACATTCATATGTACTGCAGCTCTCTATTCATGATTGGCTCAGAGATGTACCACTGTCAGCTTTCTCAATTCTATCATGAGTCTTATTTTATACAGTGTGTGGTGGAAAAACGGAATTTAAAATAAGGGCAAAACATTTTGTTTTTCAAGGCCATTCTGCTTTTCTTTRAGAAGAAGAAAGAAAAAGAATGTGCCTTTGCAAGTCCAGCAAAAGTATAGAAATGTGTCCTGCATCCTRTGATAGCTAGAAACTAAAACAGAGAGAAATTACATCTCAAATCAGTTCAGAAATGTTAATTTCTGAATTACATCCCTCCACTTTGGTRATTTGGGGGATGCTGGACTCATGTTTTTGGTACACTTGAGATTGACTGTGGTATTTGCACTAATGAGAGGAAGGATGGTCCAGATTCCCTGAAGCCACATTCAGTTCTTGGCTCTGTAGAKCAGAGGCTGAGCGATTCCATCTCTCTGGACAAGTCCATGGCAGCTCAGCAGCTGTCACACAGCACAGCCAGGGAAGAACTTGCAGTTATCAGACAGATCAGCAAGCACAGCCCTCCTGCTCCTGGCAAATTGAGTATTATACTGGTAAATGCCAAAATCCATATATTATCCTGGCCTTTCCATTATCTCAAAATCTGAGACCCTGAAATGTTGTCAGTGGAAATAATTTCAAAGACAGAAAGGCAATCTACGGAGTTTTGAGAGAAAACTCGTGGCAGTGTCAAGAAAATCCTGCAATATTGAGCATGAAGAGTTACATGGGGATCTCCCTAACTGACAGGCATCCTCCCCTGAGGATGTCCCAGTCACAGGGTGTCTCTGGATTTCAGGCAACACCTTATTTTTAGTCAAAATATCCCAAAGCGATATATTTTGACCAAAGATTTGGGAATGAAGTCGGCTTTAACTTGAAGAGCTGACTCGTGCCGTGCTCACAGACAGTAGGCTTTGTCTAGCTGTTCATGAGGTGGCTCTCTCTCTCTTGGCTGCCCTAGCACCAGACTCCTCCTCTTTTCTCACCAAAGCCTGTGCTTACAGAACAGGATGGATCAGCCCTTCCAGTTGCCTCTGGAAAAGTTCCTGTCCGAGGTCTGAGATTTGGCTTTCATTTGGTTCAGGATCCATGGGAGATGGTTCCTTAGAGCAAATGCAGCTCTCCCTTCATCCACGAGATGCAAATCCTTTCTGCCACTTCATTTTCCSTGGGAAGAGATGAGAAGTAGGACATAGGTTCTGGGTCTTTCAGGTGTCAGCAAACCCTGGGAAAAGGCTGCAGCTCCTACTGGAGCAGCAATTGCACTGCGGGCAGGCCTCTCCCTTCCTACCCCACCTAGGGAGACTATGATCAAGGTCACTGGAATAATTAATTTTCTGTCATAAAGAGTTAATGACCAGGTATGTCGGACATTTACTATCTGATTCAGACTTAAACCTGATTCTTTTGATACTTCTCACAAAACTAAATTGCTACAGAGTTGATTTATGCACAACCCTCTCAGGGTCTGAAGTTCATGCTGTACTGCCTCTGTCATGGKTATGCCTGCCAAATTTTGTGGCTATGAAGCAATACAAGACTCCTGGATATACATACTGTTCTATTCATTAGCCAGGACTGCATTTTTTTCTTTTAATGCCTAAGATTATGCATAATTATTTGAATACACTGCTTATTAAAAATAATACTGTGATGAACAAATTAATCTTATCCAGCTATGTGATTTCTATCTTCCTGGTTTGGCCAATGTTTATCAGAAAGAACTGGTCACCWCTCAGCCACATTAAAGCTATAGCACATTTCAATGCCTCCACTGCTTGTATCATGCTTGCTGTGCCAGATATTTTGTGCCCATCTTTCTACAGTAAGCCAGTCTGATTGCTATGTGAGGCTCTGGCTGCCAACAGCTTCAGATGAAATATTCCACACCAAAACCATCAAAAACTGCAGAAATCCTGTGTGGAATGAAACTTTCTACTTCCGGATACAGAGAAAAGTCAAGGTAAACAACCCAAAACCTCTCTTCTTCATCTCATCTCTSTGCAGAGTCTTTTGGTTTAGCTCAAAACAGGAGGTCATGTCTTCTAATGCATTTTTGAGTTTACTTAAAATTCCCCATGCCAGCTGAAGCAAAAGAGTTGTGGCTTTGTTGGAATCCACTTTACTCCTAACAGAGTTGTTATTTATATATGGGAAATCAGAGTCTGACTTCCTTGGGGAAAGCTGATGGGACCAATGACAATGACAACACAGAGAAACTATGAAATGAAAATATAAAATTACACTATAACAGAAAAACATCTTTTTGCAAGAGGACATGAAATAATGGYAGGAGATAATGCCAGGAAGCTGCTACCTTATGATGGTATGATTAAGATMTTTTCTCAGTTTGCTGCTGGTAATGGCACTGCTCTCAAATACCTGTGAGCATGTGGCTGAAAGCAGAATGTCCAAGGACCTCGGAAGGGGATTATTGATATGAAGTGATCTCTATTGCCCCTGTTGACAGGAAGCCAAATAGAACTTTTGGCAATGCATATTCCTCCCTAGAAGGTTGCATTTTTGGTGTGAGTGACTTAAAAGCATAACAAGTAGCCCAAAAGASATCTCAGTTCAGCTTTAATGGATGAGACTAAGAGCTGGTTCCTTGTACTCACTTTCTTACTCTTCTTTCTCTGACACTTTCTCATCAACACTTTTCTATTTCCTCTCTGTAAAGCAGACACTAAATGTGGAAAAGCAGCAGAATGTTATATTTCTTGTATGTCATGCATCCTAGTGAGCTGGGTATTTTTCATTTCTTTTCGCAGAATGTTCTGGAAATGACTGTTTCTGACGATGACATCATTCATGATGATGACCGTGCAATTGTGCTTTTTGATGTAGCTAAAATCCCTCTTGGGGGAAGAGTTTTTACAGCATTCCCACTAAGCCCAGAGGTAAGAACTCAGTCAGACATTTAGTATACCTTGATATCCATTCTCTCTCCTCTTTTTAAACAGGCGTGCTGTCTCTTTTGTTTTTTACCACTAGGACCAGCTTGGTGGTAAAAATATAGCAATATATCCTGGAAACTGCACATCAGTGACAAAATAAATGGCCTTCTCAAATTCCTGTTTCCTCTGGCACAGATCATGGCCAAATTCCCAAGCCCCAGAGTAGATGCCATTTTAGGGAAGCTTTGCACTTTCAATAATCTGATAGAAAACAACATTTATCTAACTCTCACTAAGATTATAGAAACCTAAACAATACAAGCACGGGATAATGGCCTGTTTCCACAATRTTTTCCTAAACACTGAGCCTTAGCATATCATGTTCAGCACATGGAAGCTGGTAGAGAAGAAAGTGTTGAATAGAAAAGTTTGTTAGGGAGATTTGTAAGCACTAAACACTCCTCATTTAGTGAGTGCAATTAAGAACTTTTCCTTGGGGAAGGAAAAGCTGCCTCTGTCATTTAATGCTGAAAATAGCAAGCACAAAATGGAGTATTTTTACTTATTTAAAYGTAAAGGATGATGTGCTTGCAAAAATGAAGGTCACTTTGAAAACCTCTGCACATAATAATTGAGATGGCTTCTCTTTTTTATTTTCAGGGGAAGGAGGAGCTGGAAGTTGAGTTTGTATTGGAGAGCATGTGAGTAAAACCTCATTATTATTGGAATAGCAGCTTGGACTTAGGCATTAGTGCAGGGAAACCTTTTGTAGCCCCAGTATCACCTTAATAGGCAGAGACAAGTTTTTCCAAAATTAATGTGTGCACTAAAAAATTACTGTATGAGAGGAAAAATGCTATGATGTGGAGAGGAGTTGAGAATTTTTAATTCTGTGACTTTCTCTTAAGATTTTTGCATAATTTACATAGTTCAGAGCTGGCTGGCAAATCCCACTGCATAAATCTACAGATTTATTAGAAAGTGTTCTCTGTAAAAGTCATGACTGAGGAGCTGCTACCCAACCTGTGGCATGCCTGTGTTGCTCAGGCTGTTGCAAGGATTTTCCAGGTGCCTTATGGCAATTTAATAAATTCTGCTGGGTCATCTTGTGTCAGGGGAGCATATTCACAGAAAAAATAAGAAGGAGAAAAGAAAATAAAAGTAATAAAAAATTTTGCAGAGACTAATGTATCCTGTTCAGGACACTATCCAGAACATGTTGTATATAAAATAAATGTTACTTGTTCTTGTTTTCCAGCCAGGGTCCTCCTGAAACCATCATCACAAATGGAGCAGTAGTGGTAAAATATTTTGTTCCTTTTGTTCTTTCCCTCATCATTTCTCACTGTGGCTGACTATAGCGTTAGTGAGGGAAACATTGCAAGCCTTTATTCTTTAGTGATAATTTCTCTCAGGAACTTTATCTTTAAGGAGACCAGCATGATTTTAGAGGAGCCTTCTGACTGTTATAATTTTCCCTTGTTTTGTCTGCATCCATTGAAAATGACAATGTGTTTAGCATGGCTTCCCRTGTGACAATAAATTAATTCTCACTTTCACTGTGTCTGGCAAAAGTGTCCAACACAGCTGATTCCCACATTCAACCTTTCCTACAATGACCCTTCCAACATGTGCCAGCACTGCTGGTGAGGTGGTTGGGTGAGATCTAATTCTCTGTTCTCATCATGCCTGCTGTAGTGCCGTGAAGAAGCCTGCTTGGAAGTTCACTTGGACAGCAGGATGCAAAAGAAGCGTTTTTCAGGTAAGTTTATTAAATCCAAAATGAATATTAGTGATTTTCCAGTCTCTAACAAGGACTAGAAATTGCATCATCAAAATACTAAGGCTTTAATTGATCACACTTAAGGTGATTTGAAAAAAAWTTGCAGTAAGGAATGCCATCAGTCCTGCAGCAGGTATAGGTTCAGTGTTCTGACTTCAGGGAGAGCCTTGTGCCAGACAAGAAACAGCATCAGATGCTTATAGAAAAGGTATCTAAAMCCCAAGCTGATACTCTGCAAAACTTTGCTGCAGTACTGCTAAGCCCTGAAGAAGCTTAATCCCTCAGGCATTTTAGCCCCTGCCCTTAACTTTGCTCAGGATCTCTCAGTTCGACTAATGCATGTGCACAGAAACACCTCATTTTTTGCAGGGGTTAGCCACTCAGCAGCTGGCTCCTGCCTGACCCTGGTCAAGATCCAGAATCTAGAAGTTCCTCTGCCCACATCCCCTGAGGGGCTGGATCTGGTAGGCAATCTCAGAGCATGCGTAACACACATTGGCAGRATTAGCTAATCTCCTCATATAAATAGGGTCATCTGCTGTAGAGTCAGATCTTATTTCAGGGGACTGAGAACTCCTTTAGCTCATTAATTGGCCTGGGATGAGGATGATTTACAATGCTAAGTACCTGGTTGTGCTCACTGTGTCATGATGCAACTGCAGCAGAAAAGCAGCAGCCTAAAATTCAGTGCCATTCACGTCACATTCCCATCTGACTTCTTGCTCAGAACATTGTAATSATACAGTCACCTGAAATGTTTGGGGTTTGGATCACTTTTAGAAGATAGCTTTCCAAAGGAAGAGGAGAAGGAATTTGTTCAAAGCTATGTTTTGCTTCTTTCTTTTTTCCCTTCCCTGTTTTTTTACAATTATAAGTAACTTTGTGTATGCATTTTGTCTCATTGTTTTAGAGAATGAGCTAACGTTTACAGTGAGAGGATCCTTTGAAGAAACCCAGACAGTTTCRGTGGGCTGTGACTCCCGCTCCCCTCTCCCAGATCCCGCTTTCTTCCACTATGCCAGATACAAGCARCCCTTCCTGGACGTTGCACTCAGAAAGAAGAGGAAGCTTCCCACCTTTGTACGTGACCCCAGAACACGGTAGACAACACAGACTGTCCTATGACCTGACATTTGCTTGTGAGTAGGCAGCAAGAGGAGAACGTTTCTGTTTTAACCACAAAGCACTCCATGCTCCTTTTCAGTGTGCTTGCATGTCATGTGGAGCAAGGAGGAGAAGTGTCCCCCTGACAATCCCCCTGAAGTCACTGCCCCCTGAGCGGGAGGTGGTTAATGAGGTGAGTGTCTGCTGGGGAATCCTCCACAGGCTTTTTAAAATTCTTCCTGATTTGCAAGAAGCAGAAACCAAGGGCCACTTCTCTTTATGCAGAGACAGTTGTTTTCTAACAACCCTCCAATACAGGGCAATGCATAATGAAGTGGATTATTTGGAGCAAAATTAAATCGGAAATCCACCAGAGAAGGGGGAAGAAGAAAATTGTCTAAGCTGTTATGCTGAGAAGCTCTGATTCCAGCACMCAGCTCCAGTGGTGGGTCTTTCCASGGAGATGAGGAGCAGAACTGCAGCTCTTCTGCTGGTTATTTTTGTAGTCAGCCAGTACCAGGCAAACCACAYCTGGGTTTCACAAGAGAGAGAAGATGGGGGCTATAGATGATAATACTAAAGTCTTAATCCATGAAATCAGTGCATGTCTCTGGCTACTGTTGAAATACTGAGAGGAGATGTCAGTTTTTTGAGATTCAGAGTTTTGCAGGTGTAACGATGATCCMAAAGATCTGTGTCTCAGTCTGAGTGAGGGAAAGGGACTGTTCTAAACAAAATATTAATATTAATAATTTTACCTTTCCAATTTTCAGCACAGAAAATTYGATATACTCCTTAAGGTGAAAAAATGGTAAGACATCTGTGCTTTTCCCCTCAGTTTTTCATATTTAGATAGCCATCAATCAAGTTCCAATCCCTTTGTTACTGCCTTTGTCCTGAATGCTGGTCCATCCTCATTTCAAACTGTAAAATAAAATGCACTCTGTGCATAATGCGAAGATTTTCAGCAACTGAGTTTTTGTAATGGGACAGGGAGTTAAGAAGAGGTTTTATAAAGAACACATTAATTTTCTATTCGTATTGTGCTGCAGTCAATATTACATGGTAAGGGCCACTGCAGACACTCTGATACCTCTACAATTTATTACCAAATGCAGATTTTCAATAAAAGCACTATTTCAAAACTAATTGAAAAAATCTTTCTGCTTCCAAAAAGGTCCCTTTAACTGTTTTCTTTCGCTAAAAGATCAAAATCAGTGTTCTTGGCTACTCTAATATGTGGCAGAAAAAAATGAAATAATAAATGTACCTGCATTCATTTTTTAATGTCTGCTTGAAGAGATAAATGCAAATAAACTCAATTAAGTGATTGCTGATTTCTAAACCAAGGAAACACACTGTGTGTTTTGGAATATGGTTCAGGTCTTAGTAAAATTTATAAGATGAATACGTTACATTATGTACCATATTGTAARAGAAGAGAACTTCCAGAAAAGAAGGTGCATCTTCTATCGTTCTGCTTGTTTTCAGTAAATGCGCTATGAAATACACGTGCAGTTTACAGCTATCATTCAAAAACTTCTTCCTTAGAATGSCTATGCAGGATTTTCATAGCAGCTTTCAAAYCACAAATGTAGTGCTTAAAAACATCAAAAGAACATCTGCTCATGTAAATCTACAAATTGAGTAGAACTTTTCACAGGTATCAGTGGGAAGTTTGCACAACTTTTAAAAGCCACTTTTAAAACACTGCCCTCTGCAGGCTTCTGGATTTATGTCTGAAAAGGAACGACTGTTATTGGTAGCAGTATTTAATTCCAGGCATCTTTGGCAGGGAGAAAAAAAATCTGTTCAGTTCAAAGGCAGACAGACTGCTTTTCTCCAAGAACAAACTAGAACATTTACTATCTTTCTGCTGTGCTTTATACAGACCTGGTAGTGAAGGCATGTCTATTTATGAAGTAAAGCAATTAAAATGCTTKCTGAGATTACAAATATGATGTAAGATACCTGATCCTTGTTCCAGCCAGGAAGACCTGGACCTACGCTTGGGGTTTGATCTGTGTGTCCAGGAACAGGATTTCATCCGCAAGAGGAAGAAGGTGGTTGCAGCTGCTTTGAAGGACATTCTCCATCTGGAGGAGGATTTGCAGGATGATGAGGTATCTGAGACGTAATTATTTTCTGCTTTCTGCRCAGAGGACTGTCAAAACATAGCATTGGTGGTCACATTTTCCTGAAAACTTTGTAGTTTCATGTACCAGCTGCAGCTGAGTTCTTTTCTCTGTGCCTGTGCACAGTAGATGTCTTCACTGTTTAAGAAGCCAATTCACATTTATAATTAATTATTTTTCTAAGACTGCCAGTCCCTGGGTTTCTGTATAATTGCAGAAAGTATTGCAGCTCACTTGCATACCTAGTACTATACATAGGTGGTGGGTGGAGTGGCATGGTTCCCCTTTCCCTCAAGCAACTGTAAAAGGGAATGGTGTCASCAGCCTCTGATTTCACAGGGTCTGAATTGGCCTCTTGCTCTTAAATCCATCAGTCATGGCATTTCTAGTATGGCCTGTGGAGTAACTACACTATAGTTTCAGCAAATCTCAGGAAAAGAGAAATTATTACTGCTGACATGGAAACTGTGAGACAGTGCTGGTATTTTCTGGTCCATTGTATCTGATAAAAATCTCATTCAAATAAAAGAAGGTACCATTTCCTCTAATTTTTTTTGCTGCACTGTGTTAATGGTTTTGAAAATGTGACAATGATTTCGTGTTCTAATGCGGAGCTCCTTGACAGAGGAAAATACAGAGTGTTTCTTATCTCTTACACGCCCTATTATTAATTCAGGTTTTTCTTCACACTGGACTGGTGGCATATTTTTACTGCTTTATCAGAGCTGTAAGCTTCTCTTTCTAATCAGAGCTGTCTCTCTCCCTTCTCAGRCCGTGTCACTAAATGTGTGTATTTTGGGATTGAGCAGGTACCTGTGGTGGCCATCATGACAACGGGGGGTGGAACCAGAGCTCTGACAGCCATGTACGCTCACCTTCTCAGTGTCCAGGAAATGAATGTCTTGGACTGTGTCTCCTACATCACTGGTTTGTCTGGAACAACATGGTAAGGCTGAGATAAGTACAGTCTCCACAGGAATTTTCCGTATATGACATCAATAAGTGATCTTAAGAGTTGTATGGTTTTTACCATTAAGAAAGACCTTTCTTTCTCTGCTGTGGCTTTTGTTTTATTGTTCCATTCATTTGGAATTAATGAAATATGTGCATGATACCAAACATATGTTTTTTTTCATGTAAATGAAGAACATATTACCCAACTCTCCATAATTTCCCAAAGCTCTGTTTAGAACTCACAATTTTCCTTGTGGTTTTTTTGTTTGTGGTTTTTTCAGGACCATGTCAAACTTGTATGAAGATCCCCACTGGTCCCAAAAGGATCTCAAGGAAACACTCAATGATGCCCGAAAACATGTACTTAAAAATAAGTTTGTTGCTTGTTTTGCCCCTGATCGTCTGAAATAYTATTTGAAAGAGCTGAGCCAGAGGAAACAGGAAGGGCATCAGCCGTGCTTCACGGATCTGTGGGGACTCATCATTGAAACCATGYTACATGACAAGGTACAACAACAGCACCTTTCTCTTCACATTTGAATATTTAGTGAATACAGCAGTGAGGAAAGACAGTAAATCAAAAAACAGTTGAGATTGGAAGGGACCTCTGGAGTTTTGTCCAGGCGGGATCAGGAAGGTTCCGCTACCCTGAACCATGGGCTTTGGATATCTCCACAGTTGAAAACTCCACAAATTCTCTGGGCAAATATATGCCAGTGTTTGACCACCCATACAGAAAAGAGACTTTTTTTTGCTTATTTGCTCCTTTGTTTTCTCTGAAGATGCCTAAGGCAAGTGCCTCAGTAGTAGCATTTGTTATGTTTGTTGGCTGCATTATACAGATCTTAACATCACATCTGGTACAGAAAGGATGGGAATTAAAAGAAGTAACAGGAAACTTATAATATGAACAACTTGAAATTAATTCCTTCCAGAATCTAAAAGGGGCTTACAAGAAGGCTGGAGAGGAGCTTTTCACAAGGGCATGTAGTGATAAGGGGGGAAACGSCCTCAAGCTGAAGGAGGGTGGGTTTAGATTAGGTGTTGGGGAGAAATTCTTCATTGTAAGGGTAGTGAGGYTCTGGAACAGGCTCCAGAGARGCTGYGGGCTMCCCATCCCTRGAGGTGTTCAAGGCCAGGTTGGATGGGGCTSTGAGCAAGCTGGTCTAGYGGAAGGTGTCCCTGCCCATGGCAGGGGAATTGGAACAAGGTTATTTTTATGGGCCCTTCCAACCCAAACCGTTCTGTGATTCTGTGAATTCACATCTAAATGTTTCAATTAAAATCCTCCTATGCTTTTAAAAGAGCTGTACAATGTGGCAAGGCAAAGGAAAATYATAAGCTCAAAGACAGCATCTCTGACCTGTTAATGGGACATCACCCTGTAAACATTTCCACCAAGAGCCATGTTCAGGCTTTATTTTAATCTTCATGAATAATTCTTTCCTGATAGGCCATTTATACTTTGGAAMAAGAAAGAATTCCCTCTGTAATATGATTAACCCCACACATCCACATTTTTACTGCCTGGTCACAGCACAGTAGTGGAGACTCCCTGGGATTGTGTTTGGCAGGGAGCTGTGAGTGTCCCCACTCGTGTCCCCCACAAGTGTTCCAAGGGCTGCTCTGATGAGGGGGAGCACCTGCAGCTCTGTTTGTAGGAGCCCAGTCCCAAACCTGCCCCCAAACCATCCTGCCYRTTCCAYCCTGAGCTCTGCAGCAGAAGGACCMAGCCTGCTGAACATTATCTCTGTGTGAGCCTTGTTTCTGTCACAGGCCTGAGGAAAAGATATTTTTCTGTGCATTACTCTTTCAGAATGAAATATTTCCCTTTAAGTGGGCTTTTCAAAGCTTTCCAATCATTTTTCTGAAATAAAAAAATGTGGACATTGGCATTTTCTCCTTACCATMTTCTTTCAGAATATGAATTTAGGACTGTTTGTGTGCTGAAGTGTTGGGGCAGGGGTAGGGATGGCAGCACYTTTCTGAACTAAGCGAGTGGGGACCATCCTAGTTGGAGTCAAGTATGCACTGATTGTCAGAATCCAGATTTAGATGAAGAGRGAGTCTCTTTGTTGTCATCCATTTGACCTCAGCCACTGTCATTCTTCAATACAGGAGGACTGCCACAAGCTCACAGATCAGCAGCAGGCACTRAATCAGGGTCAAAACCCCCTGCCCATCTACCTCTCTCTCAATGTGAAGGATAAGATCAGCGACCAGGATTTTAGAGGTAATAACACTCTAGAATTGCATTTAACATTTAATCCCAATTGGGGTCAATTTAGGGTTAGTTAAGGAAATCAATTCAATGCACAAATGCCAATCCACCTCAGAGGAGAAATTTAATAGTTGATGTTTTGTATAATACAGCTGCCTTCAGGATCAAAAGTAGGACAATGGAAGACATTATGTATTTCTGTAGAAGGTTTCAGAAAGTTTATAGAGACATTTAGATGTAAGAGGACAGCTTGTTCTGGGTGTTCACCACTGTGAAATGTACAGTGAATAAAAGTCTGCTTGCAAAATGTGTTAGAAACCAGTCTGCCTTAACCTGGCCAATATCGTGCTTTATGCAAAAAAATGTCTCTGCTGCTGTAATCAGTCTGACTTATGCCTTCTCTTTTAGAATGGGTGGAATTCACTCCTTATGAGGTAGGATTCCCAAAATACGGKGCCTTCATTCGTGCAGAAGATTTTGGCAGCGAGTTCTTCATGGGTCGCCTGATGAAGAAAATTCCAGAATCCAGAATCTGCTATTTGGAAGGTGATTTGTTGTTCTAGGAAAATACAATATAATGCAATATAATGCAATATAATGCAATATAATGCAATATAATTATAATATAATATAATATAATATAATATAATATAATATAATATAATATAATATAATATAATATAATATAATATAATATAATATAATATAATATAA